CGAGAAATTTACTCAACAAACTACTTTGTACAATCCTCCAAAATTACCTACATTCTCTGGAGATGGAGAATGATGTCGAGCATCTGAGTGGTTGTTCGGGCAGCAAGGAAATCATTGACAGGCTTGGCTGCCACAACAGCGAAGAACATAGATAAAATGCTACTGTCATAGAAATAGTCTGCAAGTTAGAAGTGTCTAGATGACACACATTAGTGATACATATGGACACTTGGAAAATCAATTATTTATTACAGCCAATCTCCCACGTACTATTATTCTAACATGATTGTGTCATCCGTTGCCAAAACAAATTTTGTTATTTTTACTAGAATCACTTATTGACATCCACAAAAACGACAGAAATCATTTATATTAGATGCACAAATACTTTGAAGAGGAAATTTGTCAATATGTAGTTATGTATTTAGTAATGTGACTACATAACAGTTCGTTTGAATGAAGCAAACATATATACTATGATAATAGTGAATAGCATATGCCACACATAAAAAAAACTAACCCCCTTTTTGTTATACCGTCAGTAGTGCAGGGAAATTGTTTAGAACTTATTTCTCATCAGCATAATTACATCATAAACAATTTAAAGATAACACATTATATAGAATTGTTCATTGTTGCTGGTACTCAACTCTCACAATGAAAAATCTATGTACAATAAACTAAAGATTTCAAATTAACATTTCAACGTTTTCGTCAACAAGATTTTAAAACTACACTTACAAAGTTTGTTTTATAGATTTCATGCTGTTCATTATTTATTAATTATTAAATTGAAACGCTTTCTCGTGATTAATTAACAGATAAACAAAGCATAGACTACTTGCAAGAACTAAACCCTGCTTGAAAAGGGGTGATTTTTTACTTTTCATAACATTTGTAGTTTGATTGAGTGAAAATTTGTTATTGTCCCACGTGCTTAAGATGATCTTCTTAGCTCCTCCCCATGCAGCAGGGCCCCGAAGACGATACCATGCGGCAATAGCGGGACCAAGATAATATGCATAGAGAAGTCGTGGGTCTGGAATAAGTAAATTCCAGAAAGTCGGTAATGCACCAATATCTCTTGCAAGGTCATCTTGATATGAAGTGCATGGCAGCTGCAATATACAAACATATTTTATGTAATTTTTTGTATTCTTTATGACACAGGCTTCTAAACCTTATTCACCCATTCAGGGTAAATTCGAATGATGTTAAATGATTATATAAAGTTCTTAATTTCCAAGAATAATGACAGTCACCCTGAATGCTCTTACTTACTGGAGCATATGTTCTTCCGACACGAGGTCGTATATGAACATCCTTAATCATGGTCTTCATATTTGGAAGATTTAGACGTCCACTTAATAGTCTGGCACTCCAACGTGATTGAAGTTCTAATGCACTCCATGTTGTAAGGTACAGGTTTAGTAAACTACCAATTATCAACAGTGTGTTATGTTTCAATCCTACTGGTAGTATGTATCGATAAAGATTCATCTTCTCTCTTTTATCTGAAAGACAAAATCGATCCATACATATTAAAC